TGTAGGGGCCTTAATGATAAGAATAGGGTCTTGGGGTCCTTTATATTATAAGTATAATAAGGAGCCCGCAAAATAATCTAGGTAATTAGTACCAGCAGTGCTACGGACCAAACCCGAAGCTCAGCAACCCCCTGACCCTCAGTTTCATAGCACATCAGCCGAGGTGGAGACTTGGCTTTCAGTGGTCCAAGACGCGGTCTCGGACTGCTGGCATAATTCAGTCTTCTAATCGGCCGTGAAGCCTACGTCGTAAACATAGGGTTCTTAATGTTCTCAACTGTAAGCTTTTCGGCTTCGTGATGTTAGAGTGAAACGTATACTATGTAGCTCGAGAGCAGCAGCAGTGTCCCTCCGCCCCCTTGCTGAATCAGACATCTGTTCAGGCGGCCCTTGCCCAAGGCACCAAAAACCCTCGACTCCGAACAATAAACTTTTTGATCTCTCCATGACAAGAACTTGAACCTTTACGACTAAATCTGAAGTCGGGCTGGACGACTTGCAAATGAGACGATACATCTCTGCTGCAGAGTCGAATCATTCAGCCCCAAGACTTTCGATCTCTTCGCATATACTTCCTCTGCAGTACAACATAAGCAGCCCAACATACCCCAAAGCCTTTCTCTACTTATCTATTGCACGTTCGTGGCAGTAGGCTTGAACCAATCTTAGGATCCTTGTGTCCTTCTTGCTGGTCCCGCTCCTGAATGGATTGATTGCGGCTTGCTGGTTCCCTGGACAGATTATGATAGTATGGTATAGCATAACATACCGAAGATAATGTGATATACTTCCACCCTAATACTGTAATATACATGAACTATAGTTAAAACAGTAGAAGCATAACTGTACAGTTTCATAGCTTTCACGGTCAACCTCATATCTTCATTTAGTAAGGTATAAGTGCAAGATAGGCTTGTTGTAGGTACCAAAAAACTATCAGAACATTGGCTGTCCCGCGTTGTCTACACTATACAATGCATAGTATATGCCAGACAGCATCTGTTGCAAGATGCAGAATATGTAGCAGGTAACTGATTATAGCAAGAGGTGTAGCATATGTAAATGATGACATATACTACACAGAAGGTGATTAGTTTTATATCATTTAGATTTCGCTTTTTGTATGTTTGTGTTATATATGGGAAACAGAACCTATTACCAAGCACTCCACATATTGTATGAACCTTATCAGCAGTAATTTCTGTTCGATATAAGAGCAATGGTGCGTGACATCAGATATCGCAATACATTGCAACATCAAGGAGTATGTTGTATAAAACAGTCCCCTGCAATACAGCGCAATGTATGATTCAAGCCCGCGTAACAAGTAGGGTTTCAACATGTGTCAGCACAGTGAAGCCCAGAGGCATCTGTTAATACCTCAACAAGAGGGCTTTGTACGCATGTTTCATTGCGGTGTGTAAGGTTGGTTTATGGCTTATGGGGTCTTGTGTTGTTTTAACATGTCTCTGATTATGTTTTATAAGGGGCTTCGTAGTCTAAGTTCATCGGTGTTTACCTCTCTATAAGGTCTTACATAGCATGTGTAGATGCGTGCTGTACAGGGGTCCTTGCTTGCCAGTCAAGTAGGTGGGACCATCGGCATTGCCAACATCATATCGCCTGGGGCTTCAGAGATTGGCATCAGTCTTCAACCCAACATTTTGCTCGGTTGATACCTTATTTACTACTGTTTTAGTATTAATACAGTATAGATAAAGTATTTCTATCGTAGTATTATAATTCGTATGATTTTCGTCTCTGACTGTCGGCTGAGGGTTGAGTAACCGTTCGAGGCTTGTTGGCGGATTCTCAAAGCCCTGAAGCCCGAGAACCCCAAGACCACTTCATCAAAACCTGTAGACACCGGCAAGTGCACGTGCTGAAGCCGGTTTCAGCAAGACTCGTCGATGCAGTTTAAGCCCTTCAAGCAAAAAATCCGAAATTTTCAAAGATTCTGGCTCGGGTTGAGGGGCCGCGTTCCCTAACCTGAACCGCAGCGCCCGCTAAGATTCAGCCCCAAATCCCAAGACCAAAACTATGGCAAGATCTTGGCCCCCCCAATCCAGTGGCATCGTTGTTTGAGGATGCCAGTGCAAGTCACTCGGGTCATGACCACGGAGGCACACGCTCTTCTTGAACCCTCGGACTCGGAATGGGGTGGTTCAGGGTCTACTTCGGTTTTGAGCGTTCACTTTGGGTTTGGGGGAAATGAGTCGAGGGGTAATTCGGGTTTAGGACTGGAGTTCCTGAGACGACGTGGCCTTCAACCCTTCTGGCGGTGGCAGGGTGGGTGTAGGACGAGTAGCAGCTGACTGCAGCATTGACCTCAGATTTTAGGCTTCAAGTTCATGCTCCGGTGCGTTCGGGGGGTTGAGGGTTAAGGCATTATATCGTGGTTTGGATTCATTTGACGTTTAGGAAAGGGTCTAGCTACAGTCATTAGGGGTTGATTTGCACGTGGCATCGGGGTCCTGTGAACTTCAGGGCTAAAGGACGCTTGGTGGGCGTCTTATGCTGTCACCACATAGAGGCCGAGCCAGCACATCCAGCAACAATAGCAGCTTACATATGCAGTCGAACTTAAACACAGCTAATTATGAGACACCCTGACCTAAACAACGGAAGGACTTGATGCTACGTACTCATGAAGCCGTACACACGTGTAGGTGCAGGCATGCTTGCTGGCCCAACCCCAGTCGCAGAAAAGGTGGCGTGTTGTCAATACTCATGTTGGGTTGGATGATCTCTGCTCTTTTCATTAAAGCTGGCCCATCCAAGCTACATAGTCATCATACGACTTCACACTTCCTTTGCAACAAGCGTTCGTCATGGCAGTACACACTACTTATTTTTGCATTCGCATGTTGTCGACTCGCGAATCAATCCAATGGTTCGCAAGCTGTCTCGGTGCTCCAGCATTGAACCTATGAACTTACAGGTTGAAACCTCCATTTCCATATTCCTCCTCCCCCCCCCCCGACAATTCTCCTCGACGCGTGGTCAGAGAATCAGGGCTCAGGCTTTAGGAGCGGATAGGAGTTCTTGTCTGGAGCTACTATTTTGCGCTCAGTATTGCCACTAACTGGTACGACCTGTAGGTTGTTAGGTCGATTCTAGGTCAAAGAGCTGCAAATCCAACTGGCCGCTTCCAAGCTGCGGGTTGTTGCAAGCACCAAATCGCCTAAAACGCACAGCTAGGCTGCGGGTAGCGTGAGCTTTGCGGTTGTCGGTCCAGCTTGTCAACACAGCTCACGGTCATGAGCCGAGACCTCACAGTGATAGTGGTAGTTTAGTAGCAGTGGCAGTAGCAGCAGTCGTCGTCGTGGTCGTGGTCGTGGGCAATGGTAGTGGTAGTAATGGTCGTAGTGGTAGTAATGGTAGTAGTAGTAGTAGTAGTAGTAGTAGTAGTAGTGGTAGTGGTAGTAGTACTAAGAATTCGTATTCTCAGGGGTTACTCCTACAATCCCTGCCCTGCAACCTGGTGACAGGTCTCGGTGTGGCCACTTATTCCCTTCACGGCATTAGTCGCCATAACGTTCAAGCTCTACTCCTCCTCCTTCGCTTCCCGGACGCAAATCTGGATTGAGCGATGGCTTCAGTGTCCAAGAGTTCTGCTCCGTTCCAAAGCCAAAGCCGAGGTAAACGTTTGCTTTATTCAGGAGTGATTGAATCCTGAAGGGTTGAGGGTGTCGGAATTGAAATCTGCCAGGCTGTGTGTCCCAGCCCCAAGAGGACAGGGCTCCAAGACCGTTGAACTCATTCGAGGCGTTTTCTCGATTTGGGGCTGTCACTAACAGTTGTTTGAAAACAGGCCGTGCGGCTTTCTCCCGAAGTGGGAAGCTCAAATCGTTCGTCCTTTCGTCCTGCATCTATCAGTTCGAAGCCCATTTAATGGGGACCCTATTATAGAACCCCCCCCCCCCCTTTAATGGGGAAGCGAGCCCACCTATCTCGACTTTGATCCGACACCCTGTGTTTCCTCAGGGTGCGGTCAGGTTGTCGTAGATCTCGTCTGCCTACCGTACTTCAGCTGTCAACAAGCGAAGATCTTTAAGCCCTATAATCCTTTTCAACCTATAAAATCCCTCTGAGACCTCTATCAGGCGAGCAGTATCTACTTTACCTAACGAGGCACCACTGCAAGGCCACGGCATATTATACGCGACACAAGCACATGACCTTCAGGCTACGACTTTACCCTATAGGCCCTAAAGCTTTTAAGCCCTAATCCCGAAGCCCTACTGCGCTAATATTATATATATATATATATATATAATGATAAAACATATATCCCCTTTATGGTACAATGTATCATATCACCCCATACCCTGTTCTAAGCGTTGTATAAGGCGCCCTGTAAAGGCCCCAATTGCGCGCTCTGCTTGGTCAGGTCTGGGTCGAGGAAGCCACGGAGGCGGTCACCAACATGGTACGCATGGTCTCTGAGACCAGCTCCTGTGAGGGCTCAGAGAGGCGCGTAGGGTTGAGGGTTGAGGGTGTAAGGTGGTACAGGGTTTAGTGTCTATGGTTAGGGGATGGTGGGGGTTTCTAGGGTGTTTAGTGGGATCTTGAGGCGGGGTTTGAAAGGGTTTCAGGGTGTAGGGCTTCAGAATTTCAGGGTTATTTGTACAAGAGATTCTCAAAGGAGTCTTTATGGTTCTGTACGGGTACTATCAGGGGTATCATCACAGCACCTCGCTATGTGTTCTTCCGATTGTGGTGAGACTCAGGGGAGTAGCAGTAGCCTAGATAAAGACTCGACAGAACAGTAGTAGGTACGTTCTCCATATACAGTTTGCGCTGGTTCAGGGTTGTGGGGATGGTAGGTTTGGGATGTGGTCAATCCAGGTCAGAAGAACGATCATCCCAACACTGGCATAGAGCGTTCACGTCCACCCGACATCCGAAATGCTTAGAACCCTTTGCAAGCCCACGCTTCACTTTTGCCAGGCTGCCCTGTGCCCCCCCAACTCCAGGGAATCAAAGACCATCAGAGCACCAGGGCAAAAGGATCGAGAAAAGGAAATACGTCCGATTCCTGCTGCAGGATTTGGAAAACAAGCACCACTTCGCGCAATCACATGCTGCTTGGATTAAGCTTTGGGCGAGAGAAAAGCCCTAAGCCATCAGTTTAAACCCTAAACTTCCTAAACCCCATTGGAGTTGTCCACCGTGGACGGCCGTCTGTTCTGTCAGAACCCCGCCCCAACACTATCATCTATTGCATACTTTAGCAGATTCAGGCGTCTTGCGTTTGCACCCTTTGTCGTTTTTGTAGCCCTTTTTCTCGGTTTGTGTAGAATCTGGGACACTCGACGATCGAGTCGAAGAGTGAACGAATAATACATAATAGTACCTCAGGCCCCAGTCCCATCCCTTTCAGGCTTCATGTCAACAAAATCCCTGAGCCCTTACCGTTTCGAGGCTCCTCCTTCTTTGTTGTCTCTGTAGCAGTATCCTAAGAAAGCCCTGGCAGGTTTTGACCCCTTTGTTTGGGGCTTGGGGGTTAGTGGTATATGGCTTTGCGTTTGGTGGTTTAGGGAGTTTGTCATGTGGTGCAAATACTCCTTCAAGCAGTAGGTTCTGGAGCCACAGCTCCTTTCAGGGTGTATTGAGCTTTGGTGTTGGTTCTACGGTAAAGGGTCCTGGGATCCTGCTAAAGTTTGGGAATCCTCAGTTAGCAGGAATTCATATCGCCAAGGCCCCGGGAAAAAGAACGACCTGACGCCGGCGAACCGCGATACCTAAGCCCGGAAGCGAGATGTGTTGGATGTTGAGACCGAGGTCGGAAGAGAGCGCGGGCAGTCAGGTGTACCAGTTCAACGCCGAAATCCGCGACTCTCTGTCAACCAACCAGTGCAGCCCAGAACACCGCGAATCTCGGCCACTTTGCTCGCATTTCGAAGCACGTGTATCGCTGAAGGCTAGGATTTAGGGCTTGGGATTCAGTTCGTCGGCCCGTTCGTTGGGCTACATCTTTTGCCAGGTTTGTGTTCAAAATCTAGGAATCTAAGAAGCGTGTAATCCCAAATGCGCAGCCCCCAAAACCTTCACAACAGCCGAACCCAGAAGCCCAGCTCACATCATGTGCGATGAGCAGAGCAGTTCAGGCTTACACGGGCATGTTAGGTCAGCCTTTGTGAAAGTCTATGTTTGGTACAGAAATGCTGCAGAAATCATGTGCAAATTCCATGGTTCTGCCATTTACCAAGCTTGGAGTGCGTTTTAATAGCTCGACTATCCCTCAACCCCAAACCCCTTTACGCCAATGGGGGGAAGGCCACGTCCCAAAGGATAAACCTCTAAAGCGATCCTGCCAGCCCCAAACCACAGTTGAGCTTTACCCGAGCGCGTGGCGCTGGAAACCCGCGAGAGCCCCAACCTCACCCCTCATTCCCACTATGTAAACCTCCGTTTAGAAACTCGAGGTTTGTTTTTGCAAGCGAGCTGGGCAACTGAATAAGGTTTAGACTCTAGACTCTTGAGCTAAACCTTGAACCCTAAACCCTATAAACCCTAAACCTGAATCCTAAACCCTAAACCCTAAACCCTGAACCCCAACCCTAAATCTGAATCCTAAACTCTAAGCTGTGTGGTTCGAGGCCCAGCTGCTCTGATGACGAAGTGGATGCGTGGACGACCGGGGATACAGAGATGATGAAGGCGGGAGCCGGATATCCGGATATCTGCAGTTTGAGGTTTCTGATAATTTGGGTTTGGGGTCGTAAGTGTTCAGGTTTTGCTCATGAACTTCATGAACATGTTCTGAAGCTTTGCTATTAGGTTCTGGATGTGTGTGTGTGTGTGTGTCTGGACTCTTCTGCGTTTCGTCGCTCGGAGCTTTATCGGGGAGCTGTGGATCGCATCTAATTAGAACACTGGATTTGGGATATCGTATACTACAGTTATGCACATGGACGACTACTTGGGGGATAATATGTCCGTTCTTTCGACCCTATAATCCTAACCTCTAAATTATGCCCTTACCGAGCCCGACAAGGAAACCTCATAGTACCCTTTTTGTAGAGGTTCGGTGTTTGGGGGGCTCCACGAGCCCGAGTCACTGAGTCACGGCAAGGGCCGAAATCACGGATGGAGTCATTAAGCTAGGGTTTCCATAAGGGTTCGCTTAAGGGTTCTATACGGCCTAGTATAGGGGCTTGTGAGAAGGCTTTATAAGGGTGTAGTACCGGGGCCTTGCTAGCTAGAGTAGATGCATTCGGGGTTCTTTGAGGATCTATAAGGGTTTCATATTGCGGGGGGAGGGGGGGGGGTCTTACTAAGTAGAATGCGGTTTGCGGGTATATTACACATACCACAAGTTTTAGTTCAAAGGACTATAACACAAATATGGTCACGAACTTTTCTGGACACGGTCTTTCTCGATTTCAACATCGCACCGAAAGTCCCGAAACCCAACGCTCGAATAACAGAGAGGGGGCCCTCCACGTGGACCACCATTCGAAGCTTGGGTTCCGTGAATTCCAGGTTGTCTCAGGAGACCTAGTTAGTTAGTAATAATTAGAATAGGGTTTTGTGGCATATTATACTATAATATTAAAACAAAGAGCCCCACAAAATAGTATTGGTAATTATTTGGGCCGTATATTAGCCAGTTAGAAGTGAGGTTATGATCGGTGTCGGTAGTGTCAGTGTGGCCTTCACACTGAACCGCTGCGTACTCGGTCTCGTTACCCTGGCAGTATAGGTAGGATAGTCGTGAGACCAGGCCCATGACTTGCAGACTTAGATCGGAAAACCGTAGCTCGCTCTCGCTAGCGGTAGCCTTAGGCCTCTGGGCTTGTGACTGATTCTACCCAAAGCTGCTGAAGGAGGTGCCGAAAGACAGTGCTCACCATGCCGGCCTTTCTAGCGCCGCTGTGTTGCACTGGCAAGGGTGGAACGAATTGGTGTCCAAGTTCCCAATAAGGCCGTTAAAAGCTTTTGGTGGAAGAACGTAGCAAAGCAGGAGTCGATGGCGGTTCGGGTGACATCAGGCAGACCACCGTGAAGTTTACACGGTAGACCTTCAGTGTGACACTGAGTCCTGGTGAGTCCTGGAGCATCATTGCTGCTCGTTGTAGGTGATTCGGGGAAAGCCGAAAGCTACGAACCCACATTCCTACAGTGAACATAAAACTGTACCCGGAACCCACGGAGACCTCAATCAAACAGCAGGAACCGGAAGCCTCATGCTAATGTTCAGGCCTAAACAATTTCCTATATTATGTTGGGGGTTTATTAGTATCTTTACACTATAAAGGACCCCAAAACCGTATTCTAATTTTGAAGACCCCTCTATTACACTTTCGGCGCCATTCGAAGTCAAGTCCGGAGCGGCCGCATGTGCCCGGAGTAGGCTGACTGATGGACGTAAGCTTTGGCTAACATGCCAGCGCCTCCTCATCCACCTCCTCCGACCGCCACTCCTCCTGCTGCTGCTACTACTACTGCTACTACTCTTTCTACTACCACTACTACTACTACTACTACTACTACTAATACTACTACTACTACTACTACTACTACTACTACTACTACTCCTACTGCTACTGCTACTGCTACTACTACCACCGCTGCGACGCCGACCTTCAGGCTGTCGATGTGTGACCAAAGTTTTCCTTTGACGGTCTTTGTCATCGAAGGCTGCAGGTTCTGCCGGCAACCTGAAATGTTGAGTTCGCTGCTTCAGGACCACCTATAGGCTCCATTGTAGTTCCTTTTTGAGAGTACCTAAAGGATTCAGGATTCTAAGTGTAAACCACAAGAAGGAACTACAATAGAGCCTATGGGTATACGCCCTCCTGGTAAGAAATATGCAGGAACAGCGTCTGAAAGCGTTTGGCTGATGACACTGAGGTGACCTCTGTCGACTTTGCTGCCGCCCAAGCAGCTTGGCGGAATCCGAAGTCCGTTTCGCTCGAGGCGTGACGATTGAGTCGTTTCAAATCCGGAGAGTAAGATGCAAACCCTGGTGCAGACCAAGCTTTCAAAGGGAAGAGATACTGGATTCTGTGTCCAACGCAATAATGTTCCCCCCCCATACCCCACGCTCACACCAACCCCTCACTCATGAGAACTATGCAGAAACAGTGACCTCTAGCATGCACGAAGAGTGTATGCGCAGCTCCTGAACCCGAAACAGTGATTTCCGTGCGCTCCCCAAACACCCTGGCAGAGAAGTCGGACTGGTGACTAGTTCTGTTTCAGAAAATGTATCTACTCTTACGGCTGATCGTATTCAATTCCCTCCAACACTCCAAGTAAATCCGGAGCTCTAGATTTCTGAAAGCCCCTATCAAGACCCAAAAAGAATCAACAAAAACCATTCTAGACTTCAAAAGCCCTGAATCCTAAACTTTGGGCCCGTGACTTTAACAACCCCAAGCCCTATAGAACCCCTATCGGAGCCTCTAAACGAAGCCAAAGCCGACAAGGCATCAGGCAAGGCGCCAGACGCATCGCAGCCGAGACTTGGCTTCGCCCCAGCTTTTGGAAAGAGTCTGGGAGTTCGGGTTTAGGGTTTAGGCCTTAGGGTTTAGGGCTTCGGGTTTAGGGTTTAGAGGTTAGGGCTTAGGGTTGAGAGTTTAGCGTTTAGGGCTTCGGGTTTATAACGTTTAGCCGGTCTAGTTTTTAAGGTGAGGGATCCTTCCTACTATAGGGGCCTTAATGATTGCCTATACTACTTGGGTGGTTCCTTGTTATAGTTATAGTATAATGTAACCCAAAACCCTGTTCAAATTCAGAGTATTAAGGCTGCTGCATTACCTTCATCCCGGCTTTCGAGGCCTCCAATTCACCCTAAAACCCTCGAAACCAACTACGACGCAAGCAGGCGCAGTCATCGGCTTACTGGTTGAGGGTACATGGCTTTGGTGTGCGGGGAATCGGGGTTTAAGACTGCAGCTGTAATATAATAGGGGCCTTAATAATTAGAATAGGGTTTGGGGTATATTATACTATAATTATAATAGGAAGCCCCCAAAACCTTATTCTAGTTATTAAGGCTTAGGCTTGATGAGGTTCGGGACGACCGGGTTTCACTAGTGAAAGATTCTTAGAGGTATTGCGATGGTAAGCATCGCTGCTATCATTACTTCTGTTACTGTTCTTGTCATTGTAATAGTAGCTATCTCCAAAAAGTTGGAGTGCTAGGATTCCTTTACCTTTCGCTGGAGGGCATGATGACAAGCATGCTGGCTTCTACGTTAGGTTCTTTGGTGGTATTGTTGATTGTTTCCGGGGTTGTCGGGTGCTTACCTCGCGCTTGTTCCCAGGGAGTCACGGAAGAACCGGGTCGAGTCCCTAAACCCTGAAACCCTGAACCGTAAACCCTAAACCCTGATTCTAGTGTCACTGCTCCCAACCCCTCTCCTCAGGATTTGGAGTGTCACTGTCATCGATGTGGCAAAGCTGCCAGCAGCTTGAGCCGCATATGAGCCGCCACCATGTTCGAAAGGGGCTTGGAGCGAAACTTTGGGGTCTTAATTGACGATATACCCTTACAGCTCGTGTAAGCATAACAATAGAAACCAACACCTTCCCATATTTGTGAGTTACTTAAGATCGAGCCCTATATGCCAAGCTTGACTCGGGTTCAAAGGGGTCTCTGAGTTGTTTATGACCCGCAACAGCCACAACCTCTCGAAGTGCTCAAGTGCTCAACCGCAACCCCATAAGCGAACCCAAAACCCGGCGAGCCTTCATTACACTTGGGGGTCGTAGATTACAGCTGCAATTTAATTGTCAAGTTCTAACTCCCTGCAATCCGAGATACGGCTCGGAGAATCATGCTCCCCCTGTGCCGAAGCCCTGCAACCTAAACTTAGAATCCTGCTCGTAACTAATCAAGCTTGATATACTTTGACCCCCAACAAGTCTCCAAGCCACACGGATTTTAGGTTTGGCGGGGGTGGATACCGCTTCGGCGCTAGGCTTCGGGGCTTGGAGCTCTTGGGATTCGGGTTTCGGGGGTTTTGCACCCCTCCTGAAGAAGCCTGGAGCCTCAAAAAGGTCTCTTTCAGACTGCTGGCCTTTAAAGACGGTTCTATTTGGGATCCCAGCTGGTTTCTTAGGGGTGTGTGTAAGGTTTCAGCTTTTTTCTCGCGTTCCCAGGCTCAGTTTGTTCAAGATGCGGGGGCTCGCTGCAGTCCTATGAGATTAGTTAAGGTTGCTGCAAGGGCCAGCAGTTCCAAGTCGTATGTTGGACCTGTACTGAAGAAGCGCTGCGTGGCCCAAACCTTCAGAGCGGCTCTTCGAACACAAAACCCACATCCGGGTACTGCATGAGGCTTCAAGCCTACACCCGGACTCACCCGACAGCCCAAACAAAGCCTTGACACACGTGGGACGTCTGAAGCAAAGCACCCAAGCTCGCTGAACGAGGCCATGAAAAAGTCAGAGGGGGAGATGTCTCGTGGCGTTGACACTGAGCCTGCAATAAATGAGTGCATGCACTTCCGGCGCACAGTCTAGGCTTCGGGGTTTAGGCTTTAGATCTAAGGTTGAGGTTGTGGGGTTCGAGTTGAAGCGAGGAATAGCATTATGATTGTCGAGGCATCTATACTTTAAGGCCTGTGGGTATTCCGCTTTTGCCTATTATTCCGAGGTCTACTTGAGTCCTTCATGCTTCCGATTGTAGTGCTCGGTTTTTTAGGCAAAAGCTTTTTTTTGTCTGCAGGGGCTTGTCGAATTAAACCTCAAGCTTCAAGAGCCGCCCACGTCACCCTGAAGCGCTTCACGTCTTGCGATCTACTCATGGTCCGACTATCGTTTCCATGGTAAGGTACCTCAAAACCTTATTCTAAGTATGAAGGCCTCTGTATCGATCGTTCATATATTCTTACCATGCATGTACACTAGCCATTGCTCACTACCCCTTCACTCGCACACCGAATTCCTGACAATGCTGGGAGCAAACTTGGCTTTTGCAGAATCCTGGTTCGGAGTGTGCATAAGCTAGGGTTTATATTGATGCTTCGTGGTGCTTTGAATAGTGTAAAGAGAGCTTGCGAGGAAGGTTGGTGTTGAGTGCACATTTTGGGTGCTCTTCTGGAGAGACGAGCAGTAAATCAACAACGCTACTTCACATCTTCAAACCCTCAAACCTAATCCAGAAAGACAAGAAATGCCTTTCTCCTAGCAAAAAGTCAACGCGGACCCCGTTTAGAAAGTTACAACTTCTCATGCAACCCCAATACCAACAACCCCTTATGCATCTAAGCCCTGTGGCTTTAAATGGCCCAATCAAGGTATGATCCACAGATATCCATGCATAAGACCCCGACGTACGAGCTCTTTGCATACTTGGAGTCCACTGGGTAAACAGGTTTTGGTGTACTTAAGGCGTATGCTCTACGCACCCGGTTTGGGCGCTTTCCCCAAACCCGACTCACCTATCCAGACTGGTTTCGCTGAAGTTGATACCCTTACTAAACCCTAAACCCTTAACGTTCTGTCGTTGCAAAGACTGCGATGTTGAAACGAATGCTCTTCGCTGCGCAAGCACATCCATGCGAAAAATGTCTGGATGGAGGACTTGTAAGACACAGAGCTGACAGCGTTTACAAGTACAAGGTGCATTAGGGATTTAGGATCTAGTGCTTTCAAAGTCCAGTGCATAGGGTTCAAGGCCCTTCGTTGAGCCTAAACTTTCAGCCCTTCCCCCTTCTCCGGAAAGTTTGTCTTGAACACGGCACTCATACACCTGAAGCTCTTGATCAGAGGCCTGCAACACATGGAGCACTGCGTCCATTGATATTCCCGGCGGATTGCCGGCCGCTTGGCCTGGAGAAGCATCTCACAACTCTGCGGATCTGCTGTTCCTTTATGCCAAGCACATGTCTTTCGATATGGTTTAGTAATGCTTACGCTGTGGTATAGGATGCACACAACTGTTGCAAATGCTGCGTGCATGATACACATGATCATGTATTTGTATATATATATATATGTATATGTATGTGTATATATATATATATTCATATATAATGCATATAAATATATATATACACACCTCTGCCCATACATGTACACATATACATATGTATGTGTGTATAGAATTATATAATATGTAGACTTGTTCAACATACACAGAGTCAACTCGTCATGTATGTCCAGCCAAATACATATATGTGAATCCTTATGTCCTGAAGCCCTGGCAGAGCCAGCTCGTAATGACGCCGTAACATCCCTTGGAAAGCCCCCGAACCCAAAGGGTCCAAGTACTAGTATAGTCTATACTTTTGGGGCCTAAGTACCTACTATCATGGTACTTGGCCCTAAACCCTAAACCCTAAACCCTAAACTTGGACCCTTTGGGGAAGCCCCGAGCCAAGGAGTACTGGACCGACGACGACGACCCCGACCCTTCTTCCCGCAAGAGCTCGATGGACTCCATCCGCTCCTGGGGTCCAAACCCTAACCCTCCACGGTTTAGGGTTTAGGGTTTAGGGTTTAGGGTTTAGGGTTTAGGGTTTAGGGTTCAGGGACGAATACGCAAAACATTGGCTCCAAAATGCTGATTGTTGATGGGGCAGTGTAGCAGGCTGTTAATGCGAGCTTTCCGAATCAGAACTGTTTTGGCTGACGCATCTATACAGTCTCGATTATGAGGCTTTCGATAATCGCTACTGCCGCTAATGTAGTCCTAACCAACTATTTCAGGCCTTTCCATTTTGGATGACCTAGGCACTGGAACCCCACCACGAACGTTGACACGTTTTTTTCTATTGCCCCTGGAACCAGAACTCTATTGAATGTTAACGGTGTGACCAACACATATTGGAACTACTGCATCTGGTCCACTACAATGTTTTTGGGCCTGGTTGTCAAGCGTCACAAGCCTTAGTGCCATAAGGTGCTACAATAACAGATGTAGTATGGACAAGTGTACAACCCTAAACCCTAAACCGCTGAAGCAGGTGAAATGTCTGCCCTCTACATTATCTAACACTGGTAGCCCCTTTGAGCATCCTTGCAGTGATCTTTGCTGCGCTATAGCAGAAGATGTATACCCATAGGCCCTAATATAGTTCCTTTTTGGGGTTCATATATAGAATCCTTTAAGGTAACCCCAAAAAGGAACTAGTTTAGGACCTCTGGGTAACGGCAAGGAATCCAATAATCTGCGCCTTTGGGTCTGACTGCTAAGTATTGAAGTTCAGCATTTGTGTACGTACGCAGTCAAACCCCACCTGCAGAATGCCTGCACATCCCGGTCATGTACATGCCTTAACTGCCTCCGCGCCCCGAGATATCCATATTACCGTGTTTTTTGCGGCCCATACATATCTGGAAGACTTGGTCCTCTAGACGGTTTTGGGTTTGGGTTTTGGGTTTCGGTCTTGGATCTGCCATCTGCCCGCATCATGAGAATTTTTCGATTTGGGGATATCCAAGATCCAAGATTGCGCAAGGGTCTTGCACGTTAATCTCGAGTTTGGTACATCTTCCAATTCTCTTGGTGCTTTACATAGGGGTTGTGTGCAAATGTAGGTGGCTCCTCGTTCTGCATAGCATTATCGTAAACTGTCTTCACCCTTTAGAGTATGTCCTCGCTTCGTTCATACTTGTGAACTACTTTAAACCCGCACCCCTAAGCCTAAACCAGAATTCCTTAACCCAGGCTTCTTGCCGACGCCGCCATCGCTATCCCGTCCGAGCTCGAAGGTGTCCGCAGCAGCGATCGAGCGGCCGTCCCGCCCGAGCTCGAAAGTTTCTGCGGGCAACGAGCTGAGAATCCGGGCTTGTTTAGAATTCGATGTTTTTCTTTCTTGAGGGCCGCTGAGATATGAATTAGCACTTAATTGGCACTTGTTGGAGTTCGCCGGCGTAGCTATATAAGGTCTTGTTCAGAATTCTTGGTCTGTTTGGAGCGAAGGCTATGGGTTGCAGGGTGTAACATGGCGGGAATTACAAGGACTGGTCGGTGTTGCACTTTGCTGAATCATCTCGATAGGATCTCAAGATGTGACAGTTGTTCATTCCCATGTTTGGCCTGGCGCGATTTTTCTAGACAATAATCATGCTGTTTAGCTACCAAAAGTTTCACAGGCAGATGGGCAGAACAGCAAGTTGCCTTGGCCGCTCAGTTCTATTCCCCACCATTCCACCCAGGCCTGCTTTGTGCCGGACGTACCACCCTTTTCTTCGACACAGAGGTTTGTAGGCAGCGAGGCCATGCTATCATATATGCGACAATAGTATTGAAATTCAGTCAACATAACCACATAGCACAACATAACATGAAGGTGCAATGAATAGTACGACCTTGTTTTGTAACATTGTAGAATATTGTAAAGTGAGATATACAACAATGAAGTAGAGCGTAGTGCATGCAATGTATTGTAATGTAATGTAATGTAATGTAATGTAATGTACTGTACTGTACTGTACTGTACTGTACTGTAATGTAATGTAATGTAATGTAATGTAATGTAATAATGTAATGTAANNTGTAATCTAGTGTAATCTAGTGTAATGTAACGTAGTGTAATGTGATGTAGTTCAATATAACTATGTGTATCATAAACACAAGGTAGAACACGACCATACCATACAGTACAATATGCTGTACCATAGTATAGTACAAGATAATAAAAGATAATAAAAGATAATACAAGATAAGACGTTATAACATAATACAATAATCTTCAGTTTATGTAATAGAACATGAAGCGGGTGCATGTCTGAAATCTCGGACCCGAACCATTCTCTTCCGAGGAGCGAATGGCAACCCGGAGAGGCCTCCGGATCGCGCGACCATGAGGACCATGATCACAACGCCCCCGGGCAGCCCGACGCTATGCATGTGCTAGCATGCTAGCCTCCCCTAAGGGTCCAAGTACCTGTATTGGCCGTATTGGCCCGCACCCATGGGAGCCTTTGACTAGCAGGGACTCCGATCCACGGGGCAGGTACTTGGACCCTCAGGGATTTGTCTGTGGGGTTTTGTAGGATGTGGACGGGGACGGGATGTGGCCAGTGGCATTGTAGCTGGCCTTCGTGGAGTAAAGATCCCTACATAATACAAGTATAAGATCCCTTGAGCTCCTCGATGTTCAGGGCGCAGGGTGACGGTGTGTATGCCTCTGAAGCCCGTACGCCCGGAAGGATGCTGTGGGCACCCTGTCTTCAGTGCAGGGATGCACGGTCTCGTTTGGAGGCATGGGCATGCTGCCTGGAGAGATGTGCCACAGAACTTGTGTTTTTATGCAGAGGAAGACTTCAAGACCTCGAAACTTGAAACCCTGAACACCAGCCGGATAAACTGCTTCGTTCACAGAGCCAAAAGAAGCTTCGGGTGTGCATGGCGCACACCTGAACAAGTAGAAACCTTCACCAGGCTGTCCTGGTACGCAGTGGACAGGATCTCATGCACCCACCATACGCTAAACCCAAAACCACTACAGTTGAAGCTGCAGCAGCTTCCGAGTTCACCTTATAATGTCGTAGTCAGAGTTATACTGGTGTACTAATTCGTCGTAATAGGAACATCAGTATTACGAGTAATTCTACTAATGGTAGTTCTGATTCTAGTCATGAAAGCAATGATAACCTTGACGAGGTGTTCCAACAGAGTTTATTTACTTCTGGCTAGGATCGAGCCAGGGCTACCTAGGGTTGTTACAAGGCTTGTACAGAGCTTCTTGTAGTGCTCCGTGGAGCTTCGTTCAGGCTTGTGGTGGCTTCTACCGGGTACTCTAGGCATTTTGGGAGGTATCCTAAAGCTTCGCGGACCGCATGTGTTGATGTCTTGTTTTCCTCTGCGCAGTTAGCGAGCATGTTTAGAGACCATATCCTACTGGATAGCGGTCTCTTTGTTTTAACTAGCTGTTTTGAATCGTTTCAGGAAGGTTCAAGCAGCTTCGGCACGCCCTGCAAGCCCCAACACATAACGGCTGTATGAGGCGTTGGTTCAGGTTCCCTGAAGCGTGTGTTTGTAGGGGTTCGGGCTTTAGTTGGTTGCTCCCTTGGTTATAAACTGGTTGCCTATTTGGTCCAAAACAGGCAACCATTTTTGTTGTAGTGTTAAGTCTGGCGTGAGTAGATTTTTGGCATACATCCGAAGCCGCTTTGCTGTGTCGCGACCTGGACACAAAACTGTGAATGCTCTTCCGGGTGGGTGGGATCCTTTTTCGGGGCACACTAACTTACGGGAAGACCTGTTCAAGAAGCTTGGAATCCTCTCAGCCCTATGACCTTTTGGAGCCATAAACCGCCTGGTCCCTAGCTAAGCTCACCCCAAGCCCTAAGCCGTTTAGCCAGAATCTCGAAGCCTGATAAGCTCTTTGCTAGCTGTCTATGTAGAGACTTACCTCCCCCAGAGCAGGCCCTAAGCGATGTTAGCTGGGGGGGGCTTATGTGTGGTTCCTTGCAAGGAGGATGCTACGATTTAGGGTTCCATATTAGGGTTCCCACGAGGCCAAGGTCGGTGAAACTCCGTCTTGAAGGCGATATGTAGGCAGGACAGCTCTGTCTTCTGGGCTGGCGCAGGCATTTGAGTTCGGGCTGTAGCTATTCCCGACGGTAAGGTGTGCGAGTCAATGATGTCAGTTTACAAGCTCGTGGTTTTGCGAAATGTTTGGGTCCTGGTATAGGCGTCTCAGAAAGCCTCAGGCTCGATTGCTACGCTCATCTCTGGCACCTGAACCCTAAAGCCTGAACCCT